AGCACTGGTGGGTCTCCCCTGTGGGGCCGGTGTGGTGCCCCAGACCATGGAGTCACTCTCGACGGCTGTGCCGTGCTGCCACCCATGACATAAGCCGCCAGGCCCCTGCAGCGCAGGTTGGCAAGGACACGGAGGAAGGCAAGGTGCCTGCGTGCATGCCAGTGTGTGCCACAGGGCTAGCCAAAACGGCGTGCCGAGGGGTCGCTGCCACAGCAGAAGAGCACTCTCTGCTCCTGCCTCAGCTGCTCGCCTCCCTGTGCTGCCCATCCACATGTAGGAGCCGGAGAGGCAGCTTGGTGCAACTGTAATTTAGCTCATTTTCTTCCACATGCCTTTTCCAGGCAGGGTGTCTGTGCTGTAAGGTCTTCCCCCTCCTTTCAACCCTCAGCAGGAGGGTGAAGGTGAGGATACGGCCCCCGCACAAAGCAGCGCATGCGCCAAGATGTACTGGGACATCTGTGAAGCAGCACAAGCACTAGACGTGAGTGAGGGTCCCAAGCTTGTCAAGTAAATGACACCCAGGTTTTTGGCACTCAGAATGACACATTTGGACTTTACAGAGATGTGACAGACTGTGGCTTTTCTGTTCTTATGCTAGTCAAGGGAAAAACCATGCATACCCTTTGCTAGAGTCATGTGAAGACTCATTCTAAGCTAGTAAACCACAAAAATTAGACCATGAAGCAGAAAGTGCCTTTACTATTCTCCCCCATTTTAACAGAACAACTGGTGTGCAAAACCCTCTCATTTTGCAGACCATTATGGCATTTGGGCACAAGTGGTAGGGGACAGAGGGCCCTGTGTTCTCTGTAACAAGTTACAGTTATCAAAATCCAGCCCGAAGGAAGGTTGGTTGGGTTGGGTCCTTCGCAGCAGATAGGAAGACATGGTCAGAAGCACAGCTAGGGCTGGGGTATAATGAAGCCACTCCAGTGTGCCCATGGTGGGAACAGGTTTGGGAAGTGGTTTTTCTGCCTGAGGGTGCAGAGCAGGTTTGCAGACAAGGCAGCTGAGCACGTGCCTCCTTCACTGCTCACCAAAACTGTCTTGGCCAAGATCCAGGGAGGGGAAAATGAGTCTTGATGGTTCTGATCGACCTTAGTGAAAAGAGGTTTCCCTTTGGCAAAGAGGGTTATTGCAGCCCAAGGACCCAGTCACCCTAAGTGTGGCATTTGCATGGTTTTGGGGGCCTTACTATTTGCTTTCTGGTTTGACGGATTTAAACATTTTCCTTTGCAAACTTTGTTAGGAATGTGGATATCTTGAGAAAAAAAAGTGGAGCTGACATTCTCTTCACTGTAGGAGAAGCCTTCAGAAAAATGCCTCGCTGTTGTAAGAGTAGCAATAAAATCACAAGAGCTACCAACATGAATTCCCCTACTTTCAGCCTTCTTAGTTAGGTCTACAAAGAGTCCAGAATTTGCCTCTTACAAAATGTACGTTAAAATTGTGCAGCTATATTTATATATCTATTAATCCCATAATAATAGGGGTTACATTTTAATTAAAAATGTCAGAAATTCAGTTCCTTCTCTGCCATCTGCTAAGACCAATTAATGATGCTGCAGCCTTAGACAGAAAATCAGTTCAGCATTTTTCTTTTATTCACGTGGCTGAACGCCAGCCAAAGTAGCATAAACAAAGGGCCCCTGAGCTCTTACATCAAGGCTTTTGGGGCAGTGAGAATCTTGTCTTCAGATTGTTTTGTTCTAAAATGTGTTTGCCATTTTTAAGGTAAAGGTCCTGTATGTCTTGTTAGGGGTTTGACATCTTGACAACCTGTAAACTGACTCTACTGCTGCTTCAGAAGAGCTCAGGGGCGTTGCTGAGAGCACGGGCAGGTTGGTAGGAAGGCTACCTACCTGTCTGTGTAGGTGCCAAACTTACTGGTGAGCTCTGCTGCAGGAATATGTCTCACCTTTTCTTTCCTCGCTTGAAGAGGAACCTCTCTGCCCTGCAAGTCATCATCACGGCCCTTGAGTAGTGGTTCTCTCTGTAACGATCTCAAGCCCCTGCTAGTTTGCAGTAGCAAAGTCAGCCAAAGCATATTTCTTACAGGGGAAACAACAAATTTACAGTTTCAGTGCTGACTATCTAGCAAATTTATGCCTTTCCTTTCACCATTAGAATCCAAATTTGGTTTATTGTGTCTTTATATCATGTCCTTGAAATTTCCAGGCACTTTATCATTGTTTATTTAACAGATCTCCTCATAAAAAGAAATAAAGGAATTTTGTTCAGTTTAGTAGGTATGAGCTTCTCTGGTACATATCAGGATTGGTATTTAGCTTGCAGGGGGGTTTCTAACTTTTTTAAAAGTTTGACAGAGTTTTCCTATAGCCTGTCCTTTGAACAAGAAGAATTCAATGACAGAAGTTCTTGAACAGCATCCAGTCCCCTACCTCAGGCAACCGGCTGGTGCCCAGCAAAAAGTCTTCTTAAAACAAGCATCCATTTTCCTTGTAGACCTGAGGCACATACATCTGGCGCACCTGCTTTTTCTCTGCTGATATGAGACAAAACAGAGACATCAAAGGCTTCTTACTGTAGGAACTTAAAATTTAGGTGAAAATTTTAGATGTTTCAGTAAATGTGGAATATATTCCACCCCTTAGAAGTGATTTCATGCATAGTACTGTATTCCTGTAGCTTTTGTCAATTTTTGTGAATTGAAACCAGACTTTCATGCCGAGCTGACATGGTTTTTGTTTTTGTGAGTTGTTAGACTATTGTAAGCCTCCTGCTTCTGCAGGACGGCACAGATTTATGCATATTGAGCACTGACATGCAGACCGGAGTATGAAATCACACGTTTTGAAAGCTCTTCTGCATATCATTAATTTAATAATTGAAGATTACAGGCCTTCCATAACATGTTCGTTGTTCTTTAAGCAGAACCAACTCAGCTGTTTCCCAAAAGCCAAGATGCATTTTGAAATGAGTGATGGTCTCAAAAACATCTTCATTGACTGCAAACCTAGGGATACTCAAAGGTAGAAGAATCAACTTCAAGCCACCTCAGTTGGACAAAATAGTGACTGGAAGACCACAACAGCCAGGATACAAAGCATTTCTTTTCAAGGAGGCAATGCTGAGATCTTCATTTCGCTTGCAGCCGAATTTACTTCTTCTATGCTTTTTGTTGCATACTCATTAAACTCACTCATTAAACGTAAGATCTCCATCTAAAAGGTAATAGTCCAGAATGTCCTATCATGCTGGCAAAATGGATTTTTATTGAAGGTGTAAGTAGTGCTGTGGACCTGTGATGGAGCTGAAGCTGAATTAGGTTACAGGTGCACAGGAGCAGTTCGTAACTGAGACTCCCTGGGGAGCGGGGAAGGTCCCCCTGGACAGTAATCGTGCCTAGACCTCAGATGGCTTGTCTGGCTTCCATTTTCATCCCTTATGAATTATTCTTCCCTGCTATTTGGAAAGGTCATAGGTCAGTACTGCTCCAAATCCCCTGGTTTTTGACAGAAAATGCATCTCATGAATAATGAAGTGTGGCTTTGTGCGCACCAGGAGAACAGCTGAGAAAGGATCCTATCCGCAGAAGAAACTTCTATGTGTGATTTGAACAACTCATCAACATGCACAAGAAGTCCATTTATATCTGCGAGTGTTAGAACGGGCTCCTAACCAGAGGCCACATGTTCAGGAAGAGCTGAGAATGATGTCTTGCACACTCCCAGTCCCAAAGAGTGGCAGTATTTGAAATGAAAAATGATCCTTGAAGTGTCTTGCTATATAAATCATTTGGAAGTGTGACTCCTTATCAGTTATTTAGAAGTGCTGAATTTTAGCTGAGAAAATGTAATAGCAGAACTCT